TTGCGGTCGGTTCAAGGTTGAACGATCGATGCGGTGTCGAGAACCTTGGCGCGCGCCAACGCCGCGCGAGCCTGCCGTAGGAGAGTACGGAGGGATGAGGAGCGAGGAGGACGGCGCCGAGGGGGAGGCCGCCGCTGCCCGCGAGGCCTGCCCGCCGCCGCCCGCGGCGAGCGCTGCGTCGTCCTCCTGGCGCCCGCGCGCTGCGCCCGCCGCCCCCGGCGGCGCCGTGGGCAGGGGGGAGGTTCGGGTGTTGCCAAAAAGTGCCCCTGGCCCAAGGTGCCCACAGGAGTTCCAAGGAGGCCCCCACGGCTTCCAGGGCACCCCCCACCACGAGGCCCAGAGGGCCCCAGGGGCTACAGAATGGAGCGAGAAGCTGGGGACACCTTGGGCCAGGTGCACCCTTCGCGACCCCCGAAAGGTGGTGCTGAAGGTGGGGGAGCACGCCGACGGGAAGGCGAGCCGCCCGTGAGGGCATCGGGGGCGGGGGGGGGGAATGCAGATCTCCGACGATCGGATTCCCTGCTAGCATGTCGCTCGAGCGTTCTGAAAGCGGAGAGAAAAAATCAACAGAAGAGGGGGGTCGGGGATCCTTCGAGTAGGAGATCGACTACACAATTGATTTACCCCGCAAATTCAGATTCTAGTTCAGTCAGCACAAAATAAATTGAAATGCCGCAGACCTGCGACCATACTACCCCATTGTGTAAGCTCGACGAGAAAACAGCTTGGGGGTACATCCATTATGTCGTCGACTTCCTGCTCCTGCGACCACATCCCTGGATCGCCTGGGCCCGCAGCCGTTTCGCGGGAGGGTAGCGGAGCACGCCAGCGGGAAGGCGAGCGCTCCGCGTGGGTTTCCGGGCGGGGTGAGGAGCGGAGGCGGGGACAGCGTTCCTCCGCCTCCTCTGCCCCACTGGGTCGGGCACCTCGTTGGCTCGATCGGGCATGCCTTCCATGTGCGTGGTGCGAATCGTGTGGTCCAATCGTCTGCTCTCCGCATTCCCTGTGGAAGTTCAAATGAGGGACCTGGTTAGTTGAAGGCCCCTGTTTCGAATTGCGTCCTGTTGCATGTGCTGTCGCGGGATGCGTCTGCCTGCTTCGGCTTGCTCTAGGAGCTCTGCCGGGAGTAGTTGTCGTCCCTCCTCGCATGGACCTCCTAGTTTAGCGGTTGGCACCTTGGGGGCCAAGGTGCTTTGGGACAACACGACGCCCGGCAACTCCCGGAACGCGCCGAAACGAGGCCCACCTATCCTGCTGCAGCTCTTTATGAGGCATCGTTGGTCGCGGCACGGCTTGCGTGCTGCCGACGGGGCGCAGGCAGACTCGCTCGAGCACCTACCCGAACGGTAGCCTACCAACCCTTTCCTGCCTTCTTCGCCCTGTCTAATTGTCTCTCCCCGTGCCGCTGCCGCTTTGGTCCTGGGTCGCGGGAGCCCGCAGCGTTCCCGTGCCCGCGGTAGACTCGTGTCCTACCGTGTTCATGGCCCTCTCGCCCAGGCAACAGGTATCTCTTACCTCACAATCCGTTTTCATAGTGGGGGGCAGAACGCAGTTCACCAGGTACCCCCGCACATTTGTTCCAGGCGGGGCCGGGTAAAATTCCGCGCCCTCCAGACTGAATTGGATTGAGCTGGACTGATGTGAGTTGATCGAACTGGAAGGGCACTTCTGATGACGCCCCCCACTTCCTGGAAACAGCGAGACGGAGAAGTGACGCTTCCCATTCATGAAAGCCTCCACGGGCTGCCCCCCCTCCTCGAGAAAGACAAAAGCAGGCAACGTTTTAACTACGAATTGCCAGAACATCATTGGGGGCTCGTTGGGGTCACTGGTCGGCTTCCGTTGGGTGCTGGGGGGTTCCTGGCGCCTCTTGGAGACCTCTTTGGTGCTGTCTTGGGCTATGTCGCTTCATTTGGACTTGCATGAAGCGGAATCCCCTTGCGCTGTCGGGTTCAGAGCAGTTGGAAACGTTGATGTGCATGGGATGGAGCTGCTTAGCAGGGGTTGGATGAGTCACGCTTCCAATTATGACCACCTGTCACTTTTCTGGGAAGATCGACTCCTCGAGCACGCCCGTTGGGAACAGAGGAATAAGGAGAGCAAGTGGTTTTCGATGCGGCGTGCGTGCTGGTTCGAGAACATGTCGCACCATCATGGGCGTGGTCCGTAGAGGGACCAGCAGTAAAAGACAAGTCGGCTTGTGCAGAAAAATAACTGATGTGGTGCGCCATGTGTATCACACATGAACACATGTAATATGTGACGCCAGTGGTAAGCTTCTGTGGCACATTATTTCTCCACCTGGCATTGCGATCAACACGGAGGACCTCGACACGTTCGAAGTGGACCCCCCTCATATTCGAAAGCTTATGCTTCCACACGCGAATCATGTTGCACACGCACAACGAAACACCGCACATTCCTCAACTAAACACACGGTTGACGAACGGTTTTGGTGCACGGTGCAACACCAGAACCTGTTCATGTGGCTTGCTTTTGTTTGACACGCCAATCGGCGGTTGGGGTTAATTCGACGTCATCTGATCGGCACGTTTGTGGCGGGGTACATCGACTGGTGGCAGCCGAAAGTATTGAGCTCCCTCGCCCATCCACACGTTTCAACAGATTATCCTTTTTGTCCGCCTCATGTTTCTTTATGTCCCCTCCTCATCCCTTCCTATCTCATGCTGTCGTTTTCCTTCTTCTCCTGTTCCTCCCCTTTCTCACCACCACATCTCTGAGAGGATTGACGCACTTTTCCACCCAGAGAGAGAGGGGCGGGGGGAATGGAACGAGTAGAGGAAAAGACGGGGGTTGAATGGTGAATGGTTGGGACTAAGTCGTGAAACGTGTGTTGGTGTGCGTGTTTACTCGTCCTTGTTGGTGAGGTATTTCAACCCTCCATGTAATGTTTGTTATTTCAGCCGATTTGAGATTGGTGTGTTTTGTTCTTTCGTCCCACAACGAAAGAACGAGCCGGACGTGAAGGAGTACGGTAATGATGAGAAGGAGGAGGAGGCGGACGCGAAGGCGGAGGAGGAGGAGGAGGAAGAAGGTGTTGAGAAACAGGACACGGAGCGGCAGACGTCTTTAGAGAGCCGAGCGGAAGAGGAGGGGAAGAGAAAAGGGGGAGAAGGGAGGAGGGAAGAGAGCCGAGGGCGCCCCACATCGGGTCTGGCCTGGCGCCAGAAGGTGAAGGCCACCATCCTAGAGCATGTCGTGGCCATCTCCGGCGTCGTCAGCGTCACCTTCGAGGGCGATTTCGTCATCGTCAGCGCCCGCTCCGCCGCCGTGGCCGCCGACGCGGCATTCCTGGCCGACGTGCTGGCCGCGATGAGGGCGCAGGTCGGACGGGGCTAGGACGAGGAGAGATCCGTTCCAGAGCGTTCCGGAACGCCCGCAGAGAAGCCGGGGACGCTCTGAGAAGGCCGCGGCGCCCGAGACATCCTCCGGAGCTGCTGGATCTCAAGGATGCTCGATTGATCCTCGCCCGACTTCATCCTCGCCCTGGCTTCGCCTTCGCAGGGCATCGAGGGGGTGTCCCTCGTGAGCGCCGGCGGGGCGGGGGCCTCCGGCGGTCCGGGCCCGGGCGAGCCCGCCCCGGCCGCGGCCAGCTCGGCGCGGGCTGTGCCTGCCAGGCACCAGGTCGAGATCTTCGACGTGTCGACGCCGGAACTCAGAGGGGGAAGAGGTACAGTGGGGGCGCGCCTCAAGAAGCCATGTGCTTTTCGTCATGGGTATCCTGGGTTCCTTCGCTCCTCGCGCTGCGCGGTGACCTCCCGCAGCCGTTGAAGGAGCTGCTGCGTTCCGGGTGCTCCGGGTTTCCACTCAGGTGCACCTCGCACACGGGCTCTCAGGGTTGGGTTTCTTGCGAGGGTTTCTTGCGGCCGCGCCCGCACTGTACCCACACCGCTACTCTTACTTCGTTTTTCCCCTTCTGGGCCTCCTCGGAGTCCCTGGTCGCCACCGCTGAACTCGCCTCGAAGTCCTGGTCAGAACGCACCCCTGGAGAGGTCCTGGGAGCAGCGGCATCGGCACCCAGTACCTTCTCGCTTCCCCAGGAACGGAGGAGCACCGGGGGGGCAGACGAGTCGGAGGACAGAAGTGCGAGCGCCACAGGGCAGACGGGTCCCGAGGGAGCGGGGCCCGACGAGTGCTTTCTACGTCTTCGGGTTCTCGGGGCCCTCCCTGGCCCCCGTCCACAGAGGCTGCTCGGGATGAGGGAAGAGCTGGTCCCAGGGGTGGGCCCCTGAGCCCGGGGCCCGTTTCCGTCGGGGCCCGTGTCCTTCAGGGCAGGATCGGCCGCACGTCGGAGTGACCATCTGCCCAGCACTGGCCGGCGCGCTCGGGTTCGGCCTCGCGCGCCCCCCACAAATCAGAGGCGACGATAGGGGCGAATAGCCCATGGGGCGAGCAACACATGTATTCAGGTGCGCCGATGGTCTGTGTCTTCGAAGAGGCTCCCGGGCGAATATATGTGTAATGCCCGCCCCTGGGCTATTCGCCCCTGTCGTCGCCGCCGAACAAAGCCGCGCACCACAGGTCCATACTGCGCAGGGTCACTCCTGCGCGCAGCCGAAAGAAGCGAAGGAACAGCACGACCAACTTTCGTGGGTCCGCGCCGCCCCCTAAGGGACTCCTTGCGGACCTCCGGAAGTTGATGCTCATGCTGCTGTTTTTTCGAGGGTGGACAGACCTCCTACCCTGACACGTCGATTAAGGAATTGGCCGTTTTCGGTTCGCGAGAGGGAGTCGCGGCCGTCATTTTTGCGGGTCCAGGCCCGTCGGTTTCGGACGCAGGCCGTTGTCACTAAGGGGAGGTCTACTAGAGGGAGGTTTGTCCACCGCCGAGTTTTGGACTTCTGGAGGAGGACCCCGACGAGGGCGAGCCAGGCTCCACGGGCGGGAAGCACCTCCACATCCACGGCCTCGCGTGAAATCGGACCTGTCCCTCTACAGGGGGATATTCAAAAATAGTAAGAAAATAGTCTGGGGACGATTGTTTGACCATTTTTGAACACTTTTTCGGTATTGATGTGGTATTTTTTATTTTTCGCCCGAAGTCCCCTTGTAGGGGGACAGGCCCGACTTAAGCCACGCGGTTTGGACTCCTCGGCCATGACCTGGGGTGGCTCTGCGCGGGATGCGCCATGCGCGCCGTCGGGTCGGATCAGAAGATCGGCCATGCAGAATCCAGGGTGCCACTGTGTCCTGTCTACGTCGGGATCCCGCAGAAAGGGGAGGTGTGTGCTCCTTAATGTGTGTGTGTGATGTCGATCGGTTTTCGGTGGGGCATGCGAGGGACACCTGTTTGTGGCGGCTCGGTGCACCAGCGGATCGAACTCATGCCCCCCCTTCAGGTTCCCCCCCTCCCCCTTTCTGGTGGATCCCGACTACGGCGTCTCGTCGCCTTCTCAGGTCTGCAGCAAGGGTCGCCCTCGGACGCGTCTTGTATCCTCTCGGGTGTCCTCTGCGCCCTTGGCAGTCAGTCCTGACTGCAAATCGCCCATGGGAGTGCCCCTCCACGGGATATCGCTCCTCGGTGCCCGGCCCCCGAGGGCATGGACCATGGACACGGCACGCTCGACAAGAGCACTCCAGCAGTCTGTCCTCGGACCCCACCCGCGGGGCCCGTCCGGGCCGCTCTCGTGCCCATCCCAGGTTGGCACAAGAGCGACGGAAGAGAACGGAGTCGATCGCGCGGACATGCGCGCGCAAGTCTCCGGCGCAAAGTCGCGCGAAAAGGCGCCCTCTTCTTGAACGAAGGTTTTTTTGCAATCCTGGGTTTTTTTGCAATCCTGGGTTCTTTTGCAATCCTTTTTGCAATCCTTCGTTTTTTTTGCAATCCTCCACTCGCTGCCGCCACCCTGGCGGCCCGCGTCGGCCGCGGCGCCGGGCCGCCGGGCCTCTTGGCGGAAGTCCCGGCTTGGCCTCGTCGCGCACTCGACGGCCGAGAGCCCCGAGGACGGCCCCCAGACGCCGCGAACGACGAAAGCCTCGATCCTGGAAAAAGAAACTCCTCGAGCGAGTTCCCTGCTGCCCAGCGACGGGGGCCTCGATCCACTTTTGTCCAGCCATCCTCTGGTGTTGGGTCCTCGTTTTGAAGAGGCAGCGCCCCGTGTTCCTCCTCCCGCGGCCCCACCTCCTCCCCCCTCCGCCTCCTTGCCTCTGCCCCCCGCATCAAGTACAACGTTTCGTGGCCCCATAGAGAGCTCCACCGAAGGACCCAGGTGCAGCGCCCGCATGCAGTTCCACCTCCATTCCAGTACACCCCTTTCACGCTTCATGGCCTCATAGGGAGCTCCCCCGAAGGCCCGAGTGGCAGCGCTCGCATGCGGTTCCACCCCCCTTTCGGCACACGCCTCACACGTTTCGTGGCCCCATAGGGAGCTCCACCCAAGACCCAAGGGGCAGCGCCCGCAGGCAATTCCACCCCCAGTCCAGCACAAGCCTTCAAACGCTTCGTTGGCCCATAGGGGGCTCCGCCTGAGGCTCCAATGGCAGCGTCCGCAAGCGGTTCCTCCCGCCATTCGGTGCACCCCTCACACAGTTCGTGGCCCCATAGGGAGCCCCATCGAAGGCCCCAGCGGCAGCAACCGCATGCAGTTCCATTCAATTTCGGTGCACCTCTCACACGTTTCGTGGTCACCGAGGGCCCCAGCGGCAGCGCCAGCATGCAGTTCCACCCTCCATTTCGGCACACCCCTCACACGCTTCGTGGCCCCATAGGCAGCTCCACCGAGGGCCCCAGTGGCAGCGCCCGCATGCCGTTCCACCCTCCATTTCGGCGAATCCTTTGCACGTTTCGTGGTCCCATAAGGAGCTCCACCGAAGGCCCCAGCGGCAGCGCCCGCATGCGGTTCCGCACCCATTTCGGTGCCCCCTCACACGCTTCACGGCCCCATGAGGAGCTCCACCGGAGGCCCCAGTTGCAGCGCCCGCATGGCTGCCCCGCCTCATTTCGGCACACCTTTCACGCGCGCCGTGGCCCCATACGAAGATCCACCGACGGCAATGTTCACAACGACGGCACCCACGCTTGCACACGGTTGGGCCCTGCGCCGGGCTGATCTCCTGGGGGCGGGAAGCCCGACCCTCGACCCTCTCGCAAGCCCTCGTCGAGGCGCCGCACACGGCGAAACCCTCGACCCTCGACCCTCGAAAACCCTCTCGAGACCCTCGAGCCGATTTCCTGGGGCCCTCGCCGAAGCGCCTCGCGCGCCCCCGCCCTTCGCGCCTTCAGGCTACCTCGACGACGAGGGCGACGAGGACGAGGTGGTCCTCAGCGGGTCGTGCGGCGACGCGGTGCTCCTCGGTGCGCCCGCGGGCCCCGCGGGGGCGCTCGTCGGCGGCCAGCACCAGGGGGGCCGAAAGCGGGGGGGGGGCTGGCTTGGAGGGCCCTCCTCCTCCTCCTCCCCTCCTCCTCCTCCTCTCCTCCTCTCCTCCTCCTCCTCTCCTCCTCCTCTCTCCTCCTCCTCCTCCTCCTCCTCCTCCTCCTGC